AAAACCACGTTTATGCTGTCCCAATCTTTAACCCATTGGGATGTTCTAACTTGAACTGCCTAGAAATGGCTCCTTAGGCATTATGTGCATTATACTCTAGTCTCACTGCCCCCATCCAGCCCCATCCTTGCCTTGGAATGCCCCCACCAGACCCCATCACACCATCTGGGCTGGAAGGGCTGGCCGAAAAATGGCACAGAGTTCAGGCTTCCTCCATGCTAGGGACTCCACATCATCCCCTTAACACCTGCTCTAAGGTCCCCTTGATATCCGTCTAGTAGTGCAAAAGATCTTATCTAAATATAGCTATTTTTTTTAATAAAGACCCTTAATACTGTTGCCTATTTCAGTTTTTCTGATGGGACAATAAATATTTATTTTATACCCAAACTAGAAAAAGGGAATTTAAGAAAAAGTAACAAATACATATATTTCTGTTAAGCTGTGAATTAGTTTCCCACAGGAAATGGTGGAAGCCCAATTACAAGAAGTTAAAACTTAAATTACACTAAAGAATATCTTTTGGTTTCAGTGGATGGACTATGTAAACTAGGACATAGTAACGATGAAAAATTATGATTCCATGATTCATACTAGGGATGTGAATATGTAACCCAGTGTTTCCCAATTTTATTTGGGCCAAGAAACCCTTTTAAACTCGAAAGAATTTTGCGGAACCCCTAATAACAGTCTTATATATGGAGCTGAAAAAGTAGACCACAAATAAGTAAGGATAATGATAAACAAATGCTAAACGGGTCATGATATGTAGAATAATCTATCATAGTCAATTTATAGAACTTTCTGGGTGTCTGGCTGGTGAGTCTTGCCCACATGCTCAGGGTTTAGCTGATCGCCATATTTGGGGTCAGGAAGGAATTTTCCTCCAGGGTAAATTGGCAGAGGCCCTGGAGGTTTTTCGCCTTCCTCTGTAGCATGGGGTACAGATCACAGCTGGAGGATTCTCTGCATCTTGGGGTCTTCAAAGTATTTGAAGGCTTCAATATCTGAGATATAGGTGAGAGGATTATTCTAGGAGTGGTGGGTGAGATTCTGTAGCCTGCACTGTGCAGGGGGTCAGACTAGATGATCATAATGTCCCTTCTGACTTTAAAGACTATGAGTCTATATTTGTCACGGTTAAATTTTTAAATACAAGAAATCACGTGACTATATTGAAGTAAAGTATTTGCGAGAGCATTGCCTGCACACTCCTATACAAGCAACTGGTTTGACAGCTGAAGCTTCAACTTTGTCCAACACGGCACTAGTATATTCATATTCAGTCACCCATGTGATCCATGTTCCCGGAGAGTGAGTACGGGGATTTACGGTGGTATATAACAGGCGATCGCACCACTGACCGACTGCGCGCGCAGTGCTGAGTAGTGACATCATCGTCCCCACTCTTTGGAGAAGCTGGCATTACACAGGGACACTTATCATGGCAAACACAAATGAAAATTGTTTTCAATAACATTCATAAATGCTTAAATATTAAATTTTGTTTTAAATCATAAAATGTTATTGTAATGGAATTTTCTTGCGGAACCCTTATTTTCACTTTGCAGAACCTCAGGGTTCCGTGGAACACCATTTGGGAAACACTGCTTTAACCAGTTAAATGGTAAGCCTCACCCTGGATGGGGGATGATTATTGGCTCTGGTTAACTGGTGGGCAGGGGACTGCTCAGGGCCTGCTGCGGGCAGGGGTACTACAGCCTGCCCAGAGCAGCCCCTATCTACGGCAGGATCAGTCCGGTCCTGCTACAGGCAGGGGCTGTCCAGCCTGGTCGCAGCACTACCCCTCCGCCACCAGCTTCCCCTTTAATTGGTTAACCAGTTAAACATTATGTTTAACCAGGTAAACCAATGAAACAGGATTTTACATCTCTAAATCATACTTGTAACTTATGATGTACAAAAACCTTTACACAGCACTGGCGCTAGGTGGCAAATGGGCTGAATTTATATAGCAATCAGATTTTCCAAACAGAAAATGATATAATAATGAGCTTACTGTGTCCACTCCTGCCAGAAGCATTTCAGTCATATTGGCATAGATCTCTTCCACTGTAAGCTCTTTACTCATTAGGAGATAAGTGAGTAGCCCACCTTTTACTTCTTCTCCTTGGTCCAATTGGGACTGAATATCCTTTATTTTGTTGTCAACGTGGATTTGACCTTTTAAAATTACAATAAATAAAAATAAATAAATAAATATCCTTGAATCACTGTTCGGCCCTTCTTTTCCTCTCTCTCTCACTTCTTTCTGATTTATATTCTGGTGATTACAAACATGGCACCTCCAATATGGAGGTAGGTGACACTAAAGAAGATTTGGTTGTTGTTCAGTTGCTGTTAATATTAACCAGTGGTCTGCAGGGGAGAGGGTTGGTTAGTTGTTTTTGGAGGGAAGCATTTCACAAGGGGAAAAAATGCATTGTAGAAGGAATAATTTTATATAGGTAAAATTGTATTGGTTGAACCAGAAGGGAGCTTCCCTGCGGAACCAGGTAAGCAGGGTGTTGGGGGGGGGAGGGGCACGGGACTGGGCCCTGTTGCTGAGTGTGTTGTAGGGTTGCCAGGTGTCCGGTATTTTTGCCTCTTTGCAGGGGAAAAAAAACAGAAAATACTGGACATTTAGGTGTCCAGTATTTTCTGAAATTTTCTTACTGGACAGGAGGCAAAAATACCAGATTGTCCGGGTCAATATCGGACACCTGGCAACCCTAGCAGGGGAAGAGAAAACCTGGCATGGGATGTCCCCTTGGCCACAGCTGGGGCTTCCCCATTAAGCAGGCCCATTGAACCCTCACCTTGATAAGCCCTAGCCGTAGCCCCATACACCTGGGCCACTTCCTGACCCTCCACCCCACTGAGCCCCAACCAGCAGCACTTGGACCCCCACACCATCAAATCCCACTCCCACAGCACCTGGATCCCTCACTGAGTTCCCCACACCCAGGCCCCTTCCCCTTCTGGAACAATTTTTATAGTGGGGGGGGGAGGGTGCAGAGTGCCACTGAACCACATGGTCAACCTTGTATATAAATGAAAGCACTTCAATTCAGGTAGTGCTACAGCATGCCCCGCATCCCTACTTCCAGCACCTATGCATAGGGGCATGGCCCCAGGGTGTTTCAGGGGCAAGCTTAGCCTTTGCACTGTGTCAAGGTCACCTCATTGCCAACTCCCTGTACCTAGGGAGGTGGAGAATTCAGAGTGATTTCATACCTCAATGCAGCTAGGAGCCTGTGCTCCTCTCCTTCATCCCAGAGCTTCTTTTATTTATTTGGCAAATAAAATTAGCAGGATTTTAAAATATTGTGCACATAATCAGGGAGGGGGAACAGAATTCCCTTAGGAGTATTACTATAGGCCAATATAGCTCTGACCATGAGAAAGATTTTTGGTTAATAATCTGAAAGAACCTCAAGTCTCTCAAAATGTATACATTTGGGGGAATGTAGCAAAAGAAGATTCTGATACAATATTAGTAAAATGATGCATTCAGTTTCCCAGCACTACTTCAGCGGGATAAAAAGATTATAACATTTTTGATATCCCCAAATTTTAAATGAGAAATATTAAACACCCCACTTCCTCAAAGTGGCTATAGGCCACTGAGATGCTTGTAAATAGCAGGTTTCAAATCCTTACTTTTCTTCCCTCATTTTTTTTAGTAGGTATGTTAGCATGAAATGTACTTAGTATTTCTTAAGAGTTCATCAACTGCTTCCTCATCTTGTTCAGTCAGTTGAAGAGATTCTGGTTTTGTCAAGGGTTCCTGTTCTAAAACTCACAGAAGTCAATGGACAAACTGCTGTTGAATTGAACAGGCTTTGGACAAGTGTTTATTAATAGAGGAATCAGATTTCAAGTGAGGAGCAAGCAACAGAACAGATGAAAATAAACTGTACTATAAAATATTGGCAAATTTGTTTCTAAATTGAATAATTTTTCCAGCTTTTATATAAGAACATATTAAAGCCATACTGAGTCAGACCAATGGTCCACCTAACCCAATACCCGGTCTTCCAAAGATGGCCAATGCATGATGCTTCTAAAGAACACAATGGGATCATCATTGAAGGATCCATCTGCTGCATTAAGTCCCAGCATCTGGTTGTCAGAGACTTAGGGACACACACAGCATC